CCCACCCTAACAGGGGAACAAACATCACCCCATTTGACCAAATGAAACTTCCTCTCTTCCCCCAACCCTACCCAAAGAAAATCTCTCTGCATCTTCTCCAAAATATTTGTCACTGCAACGGGAATAGGAAACAGTGATAGAAAATAGGTTGGAAGGCTAGAAAGCGTGGATTTGATGAGAGTAAGATGACCTCCTTTGGACAGATAAATACGTTTCCACCCCGCTAACCTCCTCTCTACCCTTTCAAGAATACCATTCCAGATTTGTTTACTTTAAACTTTGTTCCTAATGGAAGCCCAAGATATGACATTGGTAATTCAGCAACTCTGCATTCGAGTATGGCCGCTAATTCCTCCACATTAGCAACCTCTCCCACTTGAATAACCTCAGATTTGCCGAAATTTGCCTTCAAACCGGAAACCACTTCGAAACACAGAAGCAATCGACGCAAATTCCTAATTTGCATATCATCTGCATCGCAAAAGATCAATGTGTCGTCTGCAAATAACAAATGAGAGACTTGTAGATGACCGACCGCAAAACCTCATAACAAACCCTCCGTCACAGCTTTCTCAATCATTTTACTGAATGCCTCCATCACAATAACAAACAACAAGGGTGACAACGGATCACCTTGCCTCAAACCTCTACCACTCCGGAAGTAACCTTCAGGGTTACCATTAACTAAAATTGAAAACGAAACCGTAGAGATACAGAATTGAATCCACTTACACCACCTATCTCAAAAGCCGCATCGCATGAGCATAACTATTGAATGCCTCCATCACAATAACAAACAACAAGGGCGACGTTGGATTCTTTGAATTGAAAGATAAATTCTAACAACAAATCCGCGGCACATGGTGGTCAACGAGGCAGAGGAGGAGGAGGTTGTGGAGGTGGTGGTGGAGGTGGGTTTGTAAGTTGTATGATGAAAATGAAAATAATAATAAGATAATAACAATTTAGGCGATAATTTGGATTCGACTATATGAATATTTTTCTAGTACGAAGAAGGAATCCTACAATACATACTCAGACCATGCAATTTTCACTTAATATGATTCATACCAACAGGCAATAGAGAACACAAAAGTAAGCAAAAATTGTGATCCTAGATTAACCTATAGCTTCATTTGATGAATTAAACTGAAATATATATAACAATAAGAACACTGTTTGTTCCGTGGAAAAGGAAACTGTCATTTACAACCTCACACCAACACAAATCTTCTGTAAAATGCATTATTAAATCATTATTCAAAAGCTCGTGTCATTTCAGAATTACTCAAGAGAGGGCATAACGTACACAAATGCGTTGTTGGATTTGGCTCCTACAAGAAGGGCAGTCCTTCATTCCCTTCTTCTCATGCAGCTCGTTGCACATTGTACATACCACCTGATGTGCACACGGGAGGAAAACAACAGACATCTCCTCGGACAGGCACATCACACATTCTCGTTCACGCTTCACACCTCCATTCGCAGCGATATCCTCAAGAATATAAGGTATTGGAGAATCCTTTGGGACTGAAGAATTTCTCCAGTCAGCAAGTTTACCAGCATAGCTCGAATCTATACCACATCTACGAGCAGCTATTTTCGATGAGTTAGTCTTCGATCTTAGCTGGGAAATTTCTTTTTGGAGCCTCCCAATATCATCTTTATACTTCTGCAGATTATTTGCTGCTTTCGATTTGATCATATTCTCTGTGGATTTAGCTGAATCTTGAATTTGTTCTCTTTCTTTTCTAAATGAATCGGCTTGTGCAAATAATTCTTCTTTCGCCTTTTCTTCCTGTTTCCATCGAGCCTGTGATGTCATAACTTTTCCATGTGAATACATGTCGTAGTCAGCAGAAAACCCCACAAAAATTGGAAGATTGATCCGATCAAAAGATAGAAACTGAAGCCAAGATCAAACACTATGGCTGGAAATAGTATCTGCACTATCAGAACAAGGCAATATAGCGCAATACATACACATTATCCTATCCTGGGGGTTGCTGGATGACGTCCTCCTCAACAGGCTTCCCATTCGAAAATAAATTTAGCGCCACAAATGAAATATTGATATAGATACAAGCATGGTACATAAAAGTAGGGTAAACATACATGCAGTCTGTGTTAAAAACAAAAAACTATAAGAGACTTTCAAACTACCTCGAATCCGTATAAACGCCTTGCCTCTTTTCTAGTTTTTCAAAAGGGACGGGCGGGATCGTGTTTCGCAAAGTTGTTCTGGTAATGGCATATATTCCTAACTTCTTAACATAGCATCTAATGATCAGTACATTTTCTAGGGAGACATGTTAAAAGTTCACTCCTAAGAAATTACTCATCGATATATATGGCCTAATTTTGAAAGATTTAATTGGAAGAAATTTCACGGTTAATCCAAATTTAATATTTTAAATAGATAAGTGAATGTTGAACATACCTCAACTTGATCTTGCACGTCTTTAGCCTGTTTTAGTTCCTTTTGAAGCTGTATCAACTTGCGTTTTTCACCCGCAAGTTCCTCCTGAAGGAGAGTCTTTTGCTTCTCCCGTAACTGAAACTTCATCAGCGTCGACTTCTCCTTCTTTGATACTTCCTGGCACCTTGCGGCCGACTCTGCAGCATGCAATTTCGCAGCTTCCATTTCCAGCCTTAATGCAGAATTCTCAACATGAAGCCTACGAACAGCAAAATTAGCTCGCTCTACCTGTCCACTACCCTTGACCATGGCATTCTCCATCTCCGAAAGCTTTTTCATTGTGTTTTCCTCCAATGTTTGCTTCTCTTTCTTCAGAAGCTCGACTTCTTCTCTCTCTTGCCTAAGTGTCTTGAGCTCGGCTTTATCCTGGCTCAGTCTGCTAGCAGCCTGCATGACCTTCTGATTCGCCCACTCTGTCCACTCATGGAGCTGATTTTGTGATTCCCGCACTCTTTGAACAAGCTTCATAATCATTACATCCTTCTTGTACAGTGGAACCCACTGCTCAAGAGACTTATCATTTGACACACCAGCATAACTACAACTGACGGTCTCGACATCATAGCTAACGGAAATTGAATTGGAATCACCATTGGCAGTCAAGGAGAGAGAAAGCTCGGTATCAGCAACAGGCAGTGAAGGTAACGGATTGACCGGCGGCACCACAGGCGATGAGGATAAGAGACTTGATTTAACCAATGACAAACTGCCGTTAGCACCTTCCAAGCTAAATGTTGGCATTGAAGTGAATTCAGTGCTTGTTGGAAGATTATAATTGACATTGTTTTGAGGCACATCAAAGCAAACTGTCTCACTAGCCTTGAACGAGGGACTCTTAACATTCACACCTGTGAAATCTGCTAGAGCCTTACGTTTCTCATCCAAGACAAAACCACTGAAGCTGCTCGGTTTTCTAGCTCTAGACGCCCCTTTAGAACCATGTGTACGATAATGTTTCTCCAAGTGCATGGATTTCTGACGTGATATGTATTCCCTTTTGGTTATTCCAGAAACTTTTCTACTGCCCACAAACTTCTCCTCGGCAACTGAGGGGCGGGGTATTCCTGCAATACTAAAGAGTTTGTCGTTAGTATTAGATATAGGGTTTTGACACACTTTGATTTGGCCTAGTCCATTAGGAATGAATGAAGTTTCTAGTTTCAAGTTAGTAACATCTGCTGTAGCTGGTGCTTCAGATTGAAATATATGTCCACCATGAGTTGAAAATGTATTAGGTGGTTCAGACGGAGAATACCGAGTGTAAGCAATTGAAGGGTTTGATGTATGGGTAATTGGAGTATTAGATTCAGAACTTTTGGGTTCCGTTCTCAACTGAGGTTTCACAGAATCGGAGGAATTTTCAATCGCAGCCACCTCGCTGAGAAAACTACCCAAAGCGCCACTATCCACGGCACAAGCACGTGACACGTTCATATCACATATCAACAAGCACCACATTGCGTCCCCTGTGCTGAAAAAAGGTCTAACCTCTTTTAGAAGACAAACCAACTCGGCCAATATATACTTCTCCATCTGCTGCAAATCCTCAAAACAATGCTCCCTAGAGTAATCAACATCTCGGCCACTTCTAAGAAATGCTAAAGTATTATCCACAATATTTGATGCAGTGTCCTTGCACCCGTAGCAAAGGCCAGATCTCAAAACAGCCTTCGTAGCAATTTCTTCACTATAACCGCTAGCAATTATTTTCTTAATTGCACTCTTGAAAATTGCATCCAAATCACTCAAAACAAGTTCCTCTAGCTGGGATTCTGTAAGATTACTCCAATCAGCACCATTGTACTCATTCGATGATGTTTCCGTCTCCTCTTGAGGTTGTCTTGTCCCCACTTCCAATGTTTCCACTGCACATGACAATCTTAGATCAAGTTTCAAAGCATCAGATTTATCACAGGTCATGCAACACATGTCACAACTGTTTGCATGCCCACGACTTGGGGGAATCTCCAACTTTTCAGCTGAGAATTCGAAACTTGTGCATTCATTTGGAGGTGAAGGGAAGATCTTATTAGGGTCTGCTAGAGGCGGATCTGCTCGGAATTTTCTCTTGTTCCTACTTCCTTTTTCTTCCACTGTCATAACTGGAATTTGATTGGAACTATAACTACAATCCTTCTTTGCCATTGACGCCATTTTTCATCTGCAAAATAGAAGATTGCCAACACTTCAAGAATCTTATATATTACACGATTGGACACCATCCCAAACAAGATTTTAACTCCATTTTCATCCTTAAACATGCCAAAAAAGAAGAGCAATAAAAACAATTATACCAATGCTATTTCATTTCTAAGCCAGCTCAATCAATCTTAATTAATTTAACAACGAATCCAAATCAAGAACATACACAAAATCAAACAATCAGATTAATCAAACATACTCACTAACTTCCGATTTCAATGCAAATCATCCAAAGTTTGCTGCATTAAAATCCAAAAATTAATCATCAACATAAACCAAAAATCAGAAAAAAATATTTAGCCAAAAATTCACTAAATTTCCAATCAAAACCAATCCTCAGATCGGTATAACCAAAATTAACAAAGGTCCGCATGGAAAAGTCCTAAAAGATTTAATCTTTGATCATTTTTTAGAGATCTAACAAAAGAATGGGATCGTTTTCAGATTACTAATAAACCAAAGATTTATTACATGATCGTTACATACCAGATTTGAGCTTATAGATTCGGAGAAATCGAGGGTACGATGAATTGCAGCGTCAGAGGTAAGTAAAGAGATTATGGATATCTGTCTCTCTTATTTTCCCACTTTGTTAAGAGCATTACATTTAGGGGTGTGTTTGATTGGTTGCAAAAATGAAATTTGGGAGTAAAGAAAATGAATTTTTGGAAATTGAATTTTGTAGAATTTATTTTATTGGAAATTATCAATTAATTGTATTTGATTAGTATAATTTTCTACCGGATAAATATTGAAATTTTGGATCTTTGATGCTCGTTTGACTTTGTTTTTCATGAAAACTGTCAATTAATGGGATAAAATTTGTCACAATTGGGAATAGAATTTATTTTCATTGTTAAAAAAAAATTAAAAAAAAAGTTGCTTACCTCTAAAATAAAGAAATGTGAGCATGTGGTTGAAAGATGGAAAACCAATTCCATGAAAAATTTGAACAATCAACCATGCAAAAATGTAGAAAATGAAATTTAATTACCATCTCTCATTGAATTGAAGTGTAATCAAACAGGGACTTAGAGTCCGTTTGATAGGCAAAGATGCAAAGGAATTACAATTTCACGTTANTCCGTTTGATAGGCAAAGATGGAAAGGAATTACAATTTCACGTTAGTTGGAAAATAAAAACACACAAAACCACATGAATTTGTTTTCCATGATAACAAAGAAAATGTAGTTTAAAGTCGTTGTACCTTGAAATTCGATTTCCATTTATACGTTGCAATCAAACAGTCAAAATAGAATTCGTTTACCTCGAATGTAACATTTTTCATGGAATTCCATGCTATCAAACGGGCCATTATCTCATTTTCATCTCCCCTCAGGTATTCTCTATTTTCTTTTATTTTATTTCTTTGGGGAAAAAAAACATATATTTCTCTTTTCTTGAATAAAATTGTTTGAAACGTCTCTTTTTTTGTTATGGCTTACTCATGCATTACGCAGACGTGTCATAACTACATATATGTGTTCTAGACGAGCACTCATTGAAGGGCTGTATAATTTAGGGTTTCACAAAATTCTCGAATCGAATCGAGTGGTTCTTCTTAAATTAAATATTCGAACGGTATCTGAATTGAAAATCGACGGATTTGGTTCGATTTTCAATTCTAGATCAAGAATTGAATAAGAACCAAATTTTCCTAATTTTTTTTTATCTTAAATAAGTTAAATTATTATTTTTTAAATAATTTGCTAACTAATTAATTTAGTTCAAATCCAAAATATGTTTTTTTCTATTTCTAATTTCAAGTTCAAGCTCAACTTAATCAAATCGACATAAGTTTTACTCAAATCTCTTATTCTACTATTGTGCCTTTCTGAAAACATCAAATTGGGAGCTCGATTACGCCTCTCTTCATTATTGTAAGCTCATTATCTTCATATTCCTGTAATTTTAATATTCAAATCTATGAAAAACTCAACAAAAAGAGATGATATCATGGGATTGAACTACATTATTTTATAAGAGATAAAATTGAACATGTCATCAGTTAAATTAATGTAGCGTGGTTGTAAATATTAAAAAAAATTAATTATCGTACGGAACTCGGGAACCAAATGAAACCGAACCCGCACCATTCCATAATTAAATTTGGACTCGATGATTCCACTTACTAAATACCCAAAAATTCGAAATTCGATTCCATTTTTTTTTAGAACCAAACTGGATCATGTCCACTCTAATATAATTTGTATAAATAAATTTTCATTTTTAAGTCTAACATTCTCGTTAAACCAAAACGTTAAGGGATTGTTCTCTTTGTGTTTCAGTTTTGTGTTTTGAGTGTCTATTTTGAGATTGTTGAAAATGTGTTCTTTTTAATATTTTGAAAAAATTGTTTTGAAAACACGCAAAACGCGTTTTGAAAATTTTGACTTGATTATAATCTAAAACACCCAAAACGACAAATTTGTCGTTATGGATTTTCTTTGTAAATTTTTAACTTATTTTCAAAAATACTTTTTGAAAATGAAAAAAAGAATGCGTTTTCATTATTTTAAAAAATCGAAAATAGAAAAATGGCTTAAAAATAGTAAAGACAAGAGTTGAAAAAAAAATATGATTACTGTCTACTATTGGGGAGAATTTCCAAAATAGTTGGATCAAATGACCCATTTGGGTTTTTAATGTAAAAGTCAATTTTGCCCTTAATGAAATGATTTTTTATTCCAAATCATGTCCTCACACTTCATGGTTTATAAGAAATTAGTTTTATTCTTATTTTTATTCGTCATCACTGAATGTTTCTTCTAAATCTGATTTTTATTCATATATTTCT